CAATGGCCCTCGTTCTAGAGGGATCCCTGCCGAAGATGGGGGCTGATGGTGACGGTAGGGGTGGCCCCGAAGGAGGTGGAGGCGGAGGAGGCCTCGCCGAGCTGACGGTGCGAGCATCACGAGGAGGAGAATCTCTAGGAGTCCTTCCCTGGGTTAAGGGAATAGTGTCTCCAGATTTCTCCCATGATCCCGTTCCGATGGTTGAAGCAGCGCCAGCACTTGAAGATCCGCAGGCAGCGGGAGGTTGTTCCCTCATCTCAGCAATCTGCATGTTGATCTCATTGACTCTCAGCACAAGCTTCATAAACTGCTCTTGCATGTGCCTCGGATTGGGACCTAAGCTTTTGTCATGAAGGTCCTTGACGCACCTAGTAATACGGGACAATTGAAGCTTGAACTCCTCCTGTTTCTGTGAGTTCTCATTGAGGGCTCCGGACACCCTATCACTGAACTGCTTCAGGTCGGTCGCAGGAACGAGATGCTGAATATACGTCTCGACGTTCCCACGGATGGTTCTCTCCCTTGAGATGGTTCCCTCAATGTCGATGACACTGCGAGAGTTCGCCTCAACTTCGTCTTTGATTTTCCGAACTTCAGCCTCAAGGGCCCCGATCTCAGAGAACCTAAGGAGCTGGACCTTGACGTTCTCAAGCGATTCGGCTTGCTCGCGAAGTTCAGCAGCGGATGTGACGATCGAGTCAGATCTCTCATCATACACCTTGAAACGCTCATTCGTCTCCTTCTCGCTTCGGGCGGCCCACTCATGAAAATCACGGAACTTAGCCTCGTGTTTTGAGAGAGTTCCAGCAACGGCAGAGAAGGATGATTCAACCTTCTTCTCGAAGGCGTCAACACGGTTATTGATCTTCTTGATCTCACCGACGCAAGCGTTGATATCATCCCTACATGAACGAATCTCAGTTCTGCACCCCTGGATCTCGGTCTTGCACCCCTTGACCTCGTTGTGGATCGCGAGAAGCAGTCGTTGAAGCTCAGATGCAACAGGATGGCCGCCACTTGTGGAAGCAGACGGAGCAGGGCGACTATCAGCGTCATGATCTCCGCGATTATTGTCTTCCCTGTCGGGAGTGCAGCCCGGAGTTCCGATTTGGAAGAATGCGGGAACGAGGGAGTCGTAGACCGGTTGATTCAAAGGAAGCCCTCCATATCCAGGGGCAGCAGTGCTAAGTCCAGGTCTCCGGTTCCTAGGCGTAGAGTTAACCCCGTCATCAGTCTCCTTCTCGGACATCGGGGCATTGGAGCTGAGCCCAGACCCCGCAGAGTGGATAGGAACGTCAATAGGGTCGTGATGAGCTGGGGGATTAGATCGCAGTCGCAGAGCAGCTTCACGTCTCTCGGGTGACTCAGAGCTCCTCTTTGTAGCTCGTGAGTCAGTGCCGGTTTGTCCCGACACATTATCAAATGATGATGATCCGCGAAGTTGAGCTTGATCCGGATCAGGTTGAGTGAGATCAAGCCGTTGAGCAACGTCACCATTGAGTGGCTTAGGAGAAAGTACTTTGGCAACGCGGCTCGGCGGGAGCGATGTAGTTCGTCTCTCTGGTGTGATCTCGGCCTCATCGATTACATCAAGGATCCCAGGAATGGTTTCATCATTTTCATTTCCTCTCCTGGGTGGCTGATGGAAGGGGATGTCGAGGAGGTCAAATGGAGTAGAGCCAATACCAGGTGTATCCTGCTCGGATCCATCGCTGGTACGGTGGCTGGACTGCTCCTCGAGGTCGATGACGTCGGGGGCGGACTCTTTTCGAGTCTGACGCCGATTGAACGCCGCGAAGAGACCGGCATGGCTTCTTGACGAAGAGGAGGAAGGATTTGGGCCTGCTGTTTCGCGGCCCACATCCGATCGATTAGTACCTGATGTCCGATTTGGCGGATTTGAGCCCGCGTTGTAGCGGTTCGCATCCCGACCTCGGGTACCTGAGGAAAGCGGTGGATTCGGACCAGCGTTGTAGCGGTCCGCATTCCGGTCGCGGGTACCTGACAGGTGAGATGATACTGCATCAGGGATGAAGTCCATATCCGCCGGACTGGGGTGATCGTGAATGATGTCAATGTCGGATGAACCTGAGACGGGAGGAGGGCCAGCTATTTGCGGCCAATCCTCAATCGCCCGTTTGCCCACCTCGGGTTGGGCCGAACCTGCAACATGAGAGGGGGGAAATCTTCAATGGGGTCATTTTCTCCATCATGAGGAAAACCCTGAGTAGGCTCATGCGAGGGCAGGGCATCAAAGGATCTGTCAATTCGGGAAGGCTGAGACCTCCAATCAGCATCAAAAAGGGATTGAAAATCCAGATTCCCAACCGAAACGGGGGCACCCGAGTTAAAGTCGAGCCGACCGAAATCAGGCGGTGTAGCCTGCGATCCACTGCCGAGGAGTTGGTCAAACTGATCCCATGTAAGGGACCATGATTGAGCCGGCTCCGGATGAGCAGCATGATGGACAGCCCGGTCCTCGATCTGGAGCGCCACGAACGGAACAGTAGGCGAAATCGATGAGGGCACCTGATTTGGAGGAACCTCAGCCTCTTCTAGAGGGGGTCCGTCCTCGATCTGGAGCACTGCCGCCGGGATAGGGGCCTCCGCATCCTCATCAAACACAACCTGAGAAAGGATCCAATCGTCCGTGATCACCCCGGGATTGGGCTCTGCGCCCACCATCGGGGGAATGGGCCACAGCCGGCTGTCTAAGCCGGGGGCAGCAGGCGCGGCGTTGCCGCGAAGGGCGTTGGCCTCGTCGTCCACGAAGCCCGGCCCACGATGAGAAGCTCCGGGGGACGCCATTGCTCGTACAAGTAGGCGATGGGAGCAGGTAGCGGGTCACGTCCCGCAACCGGATCACCAGCCCCAGCTTCTAGCTGGTACGGCTGATAACCTGCGGTTTTGGGCGAACACGAAGTAGCCCAGGGAATCAAAGAGGTACACGTGGTTCACGAAGTACCAAAAGAACCCAGTCTCAAAGCACAATGTAGAAGGTGCCGGTGACCAGATTGTGGGAGTGACAGTTAGTGAAGATCAAGTTTGGGGAGGTTAGGAAACTGGTAGAAGAAGGTAAAGACAAGGGTCGGGCCCGGGAGCACCTCGGCGACCTGCCGCCCACCTCCTAGTGCCGAACAGCTGGAACACCACGGACCTTTTCCGCGATGGCGCAGCCAATCGCCGCACTATGGCGAACGCACGCAAATCCAAGGAAGTCCCGACGGGGGATCCAAATCTTGAGCCAAACGGCCATTCGGCCGTTTTGCCACATGAAGAAACAACACGTGAACAAAACACAAAAGGGAAACCAACAGGAACACTACCATTTTGGGGTACCCCTAGTTTGAAACACGCAAGAAAAACCTGGGGACAAACGCAAACTTGTCACCAGATGTCACCCAGCAAGGTTAATTCCAATATCTTGTGCTATCAAACAGCGACTCCAATAGGAATCCCGCATTTGTCACTAAACGCAATACCCAAAAACCGAAGCCCGTAAAGCTACTACCCCATTAATAGTGTTCATTGCTCCAGTCGCAAAGTTCATTGCAATTGGCTTCAATGTTCGCCATGTTCTGTTTGTGCCAGGACCAGCTCAAAGTTATCTTTCCCCCTTCCACAACTCCATGTATGCAATATTTGGCCACAGTGGCCCTCCAAAGTGGTCAAATGTTGCTATACATTATCTACATGGCTTGTGTGGGTTGCTTCATTGGCTTACGATGCCAAGAGCACAACTTCGCACCCCGCTTGGATCGAGCCTGGCAACCCATGCGCGGAGTGTTCTCTACTGTTTGCAATGGTCAAGTACCAAACTCAAAGCACAACAGTCGTGCACTCCCTGCAGCTTGCCATGAAACCTGACAATCACCTCACGATTTTATTATTTTTGGTTAGACATATGGCTGCGCGTCAAAATAAGTATCCAAAATGGAACCCTGGTAAATGGAACCAAGGACTAACACCTACGGTCCCCTAGTTTGGAGCGACCTTGGAGACTCCCCAAACGCGGCCGAAGCGCGGGCTTCAATCACCGCCCGGGACAAGGTGCATGCAAGCTCCTGCCAGACGAGCGATTGTTTTTCCGACAGTTTCCTCGCGAGGCTCGGTAGTCTTGGGGGTGGGTTAAAGGGAAACCTAGAGGAAAACCCAAAACTGCTACCAGAACCCCATAAAAAAACGAGCAATACAGCCCCTTGATATTGGCCGGCGGCTGTATGGAGTTGCTCTCGTATGGCTGGGTTATTTGTTCAGAAAAAGCTGGGAAAAAGCAAACGCGATATGAATACAGCATATTACAGCATCAGGGCTTGAAGTGTTGTCCGTTTTGCTGTGCTGTTCCCCATGTTCCCAGTCTATTACCCACCCGAATCTCAGCTGATTGTTCTTGTGGTGTGTCCTTGTTTTGTTCGCTCAGGGGGATCAGACAAATATATGAACAAAACATCATCGCACGCAGTGTCCAATGATCAACCGTGTCATCTGCGAAATCGCTGATGTACAAACAGCTTCACAGGCAAGGATAGGTCTCCAGGCTACTTGTTCACGCTGCTTTGTGCTGCTGTCGCCGAAGGCGGCCAAACCAAAACTCTCAACCGCACCAAGATTGACCGTCATGCAAGAGCATAAACTGGTAGAGCAACAGAGACCAACAAACCAACAATCACACACACACACACATACACGCACACACTATGATTGAAGCAAGAAAATAAGTCCAACGACATGACCTCGGAACAGTACAGTGTACAAACAACTGCAGTTGCAAACGCAAGTGCCAACACAAAAGTAAAGAAAACAAGACAAGGTTGTTGCATTGCTACAATCAGGTCGAGGGGATGAGCTGATCCACTGCGAGGACATAGCGACAGCGGCTTCCAATCCAAAGCAAAGCCACTTGTTTAGTTCTTAGTCTTTGGGTGATGCGAGAAAGAAGTGGGCGAATGATAAACAACGTACGGCCTATTCCTGGGTTCATTCAAACGACATGGTTCGAATTATCCTGAAGTGGTTACAGGAAAGCCACCGCGACCAACATGTCTTTTTCGGGTCTGGCTTTGTTTTGGGGTACCCCCCCCATTGTTGGTGGTTTTTGAAGGAAACCAAGAGGGACACCGTGTGCCAGTTTGGGGCTCCCCTTAAACACGACGCACAGCCCCGAGAAGGGACCCTACCAGCCTGCAGCTGTTCCTGCTGCCGCGTGGCGCGGCTGAGCATCTCTGCAGCCTCGAAGTTTGACGGAGCCTCAAAGCCTCTCCATGCATTGTTGGGGTGCTATCCATTTTGAAAGTAAGGTCACCTACTTTACCTTGTTGAGGGCAATGTCCCGTTTCTGAGGGTCCAAGTGTCGAACCATGGCCATACACGCACGCAGAGGGGGGACACAGGGTGCCCAAAGTTGATTCCCTTCGATTCGAGCTCCGGCCGGGGCCCTGGCCTGCCCGCGCATCAAGTAGCCATCGCTGTCCTGGACACAGCCGGCCGAAATGCAAGCGGAAAACCAAGCGGAAAACCGGAGAGCGCCATGAAAGGATCCGATTCCTTCTTTCGCAAGACATGGGTCTGTCGTGGCATTCCTTTTGGCTTCCCCCTTAAAACCACACATTTTGGCCGGTCGCCCAACAAAAAAAAAAAACGGCCGCTCCGAACACCCCCGGTTTTACCGCTTTATTTGGGTTCGAACCGACTTTCGCCGCCGCCCCCGAAAACCGTCGCCTGGAAGGTGCCGGCGATCACCGCCACCAGCTTGAGGCACTCGGAGCAGGCCTTGGCCACGCGGAGCTTGGCGGAGAGCTCCCGGCACAAGACGCCTCGATCCGATTCGACTCGACGCGAGGCAAAACGCGCAGTTTCATGCCCTGGACAAAATGGGTCAAAATGCGTCCACGTCATAGATTCTCTTTAGAACCAGGGGAAATACACCTTGTTTGATCTTCTTTGTCTTTTTTGGCAAATGGACGCATATCGAAGCAATTCGAAGCGATTCGAGGAAATGATCCGCGGGTTCCAAGGTTGGATTGATGGGAAGGGCTTGAGAAGAATGGCGAGAAAGTGTCAAATATGGTCAGTCAAACTGAATTTGGGGCAGCCATTGCAGCAGACCAGTCACTAGAAATGATTGGCCACCAAAGGCCATTAATCCACGCTACGGCCTGAATGTATGCGACAATATGGGTTGGTCTTTACAGGGGGCCTCAAACATAGTTGGTATCCTTTTGGTTTGCCTCTAGAATCAACTACAACGGGTACCCTCGAAGGAGGCAGACCCATGTATGAACCCCTGGTATATATACTATATACGGATATGTAGCATCAGCCTTCATTACAGGTTTGTGTGGGCTACAGGACTTTTAAGCTTCTCCTACAACTCCATCCAACCAAATCGAACCATGTACGGGCAACAGGGTTTTGGGCGCTGCTCATCTTGGGCCGGCACGGGGTGGGATGAGGCGTTGGGCATTTTTCGCTGGGCGCATCGACCCCCGCTTCTTCACCTGATTGAAAGCTGGCGTTTTCCTTGCCCAAGCCTTCCTCCATTCTGCCTGTCTCCCTTCATGCAGCCTTCAGGTGTGGGGAATCACCTATATGAAAGTTGCTGACGGTCAACCTGACAGGTTGCTTGAGAACACCATCTGAACTACTGGTGGGCAACATTCACCGGTTGGTGGTTTATGAGCAGTCATGGGGCTTCAATCATTCCAACCCGAAGTTTTTTCCAGTGACTCAAAGTGAAGCAAACAAAAAAACATTCTATAACTGGGCCTAACTCTAATCATGGGGTGTTTGTCTTGGTGGGTTGCTGGCACTTGTTTCTGGTTTTCGGTGTTGGGTGTGTTTTGTGCTTTGTGTTTGTTTGTTGGTGGGTTGCAGGCGGTGCTGGTTTTCGGTGTTTTGTTGGTTTCGTTGGTTGTGTGGCGGCCCTGGCGGCTCTTGGTTTAGATCATTGCCTGGGTATCGGTTTGGGGAGTAGTCTCCGATTGGCTTTTGGTGGTCGTATTTTTGGGTTGTCATATCTTGTTTCAAGCGGACCATCCTTGACCTCCCAGGCCCAAGAGACATGGAGCCATTCCTGGAGGGGCTTGGGTTCATGTTGCCGACTGCACTGCCAGTTTCAGAGGTGTCATACTGTGGGTGGACAAATGTAAAATGTGTCCTAAGTCTACCCTACCCCAGACCCAAGGCACAAAACAAAACACCTTTCTGCCCTTCCGCTCACATCGCCCGTCTCTCTCTGATCGGGAAGCCCATCACCAGCTCCAGGGAGAAGACCAAGCCGCAGCCTCACGGAGGAGACGCCGCGAGGAATCGGCCATTTGCATCAGGAGGGTTTTTTTGCCACCGTTGAATGATCGACCCCCCGGTAGTCAAGGATTCCTCTTTGGGGTCGCCAATTTTCTCAGTGGCAAAAAGACCCCCCTGATTTCAGTTCGCCCACAGAATCGGACGCCGGTCCGATTCCCAGGGGCTTCAAAATTGGATTCCCAAAAAACGGGGTACCCCCCAAAAAAGGAGAGCCACCCCAGGAACGCCCAAGATGTTCATTTGCAGAGGAAACTTCTCTCCCCAAAAGATAGGGACCAGCGATTGAGTCCGATGGTCTTTGAGGGATGTCCGCCAACGTTGCTCGGCGTGTCGGACACCTGAGAGAGGATAGAGGATACCCCCCCCTAACCCCCCCGCCCGCCCAACATCTGATACGTGGGGGGGGGGCCCACGTACCGCGCGGTAATTTGATGACGTTCCACTAAACGCAGTCTTCGGGGAGCCGGTGTCGCAAAACAGCGGTCCCAGGCTCCATTCCCCCTGCCGGCTCTTTGCTGGTTTGGGTTTCCTGCCTCCTTTTGCCGAAAATCTGGGAAATAGTGGGGAGCAAAGGGGAAATGCAAGGAAGTGCAAGGACATGAGGGGAGGAAATAGGAAGTGTCGACATGACAGGAAAGCAACGGGACATAAAGGGGAACTGAAAGGGACATGAAAGGGACAGAAATGAAAACAAGGGGAGTGCAGGGGGAAGGAAAGGGAAACAAAGCACAAGGGAACCAATCGGCACGACGGGAGATGTAGGGAAATGACTCGCAACGAAAGAACGGGACCGCAACGAAAGAACGGGACATACATGGAAAATGAAGCGGACATACCGAGAAAATGTCAGGGACATGAAGGGGGAGTTGAAATGAATGGAAGGGACATGACCAGGACATCATGGGAAACGTGAAAAGGACTTGAAGGGGAAATCAAGGGGAAAGCCAGTAGTGAGATGACAGTTCAGGGTCATGAAGGGGCAGTGCCCGGACATCGAGGCCACTCAGGGGGGACGTGACGCTGCAATGCAGAGAGAGAGAGAGAGAGTAGGTCCTCCAGTAGAGAGGTTAGAATTACGGTACCCTTTTTCTGTAGAAGGGCGTGGACAGGAAGGAGACAGGGAGACAGAAAGAGACAGAGAAACAGAAAGAGAGAGAGAGAGAGAGACAGATATATATAGAGAGACAGAGAGAGGGAGATTGAGGCGAGAGAGGATCGGGAGGCTGGGGAGCAGAGGGACGGAGAGAGGACGACAGAACACACGAGGGGAACAAGGGAGACAGGAAGAAGGAGAAAAGGGAGAGGACAATGTCGGCGGACGGAGCCGGAGGCTCTAAAGTTTATTGAGTTCCCCCGTGTCCCTTCCAAATCAGTGATAGACTTAGACTGCTGCAAAAAATGGCCGAATCTCAAGTTCAGCTCAGTTGGATTGATTTGTGGAGTGGGGCCCTGCACGAGTTGACTCATTGTCCATTCTGTTCAACTGTTATTTTCAACAGCCGGATCGAGGTTTTCCGGAAGGTTCTTTTTTGAAAATGACTCGGGACCCGAGTCAAACCGGGGTATCGATAACACAACGAAGCACATGGAATCCAGAATCTGTCCTAGGCACCAGGTCGCTGACCCTGTCCCCCACCTTATCTACCGCGATCTCAGCCCTCATCTCCTGACCAAATCCTGACCCAAACTTCAGCGCAACCCCGGCGGATGCTCGGTTCACAAGCGCCCCTGGGGCAACCGGTCCAAACAAAGGGGGGGCTAGTTGTCCCACTTCCAAGAATGAATGCTGAGTCATGTTTCTATATATGTATATATATTTTAGTTGCCCAAATGACCCCAGAAGGTAAACATTCCATATATGCAAATACATATGTATACATCTATATATACAAGTTGTAGATTATGGGTGGCTTGAGATGCCAAGAGGCCGAAGGACAAATCCACCAGCGTGTCCCAGGACCGCTGCTTCCACATGTAGCTCCTCCAGCACAGGGACTTTCCAAAGCCCGGAAGAGGTGCATCTTAAGACGGCTTTTTGGCCCCCTTTTGCTGGTTCAAAGGTGGATCCTGATTTCCGATAGTCCGCAATCTGTTGTGGGACATGACGGATTGCAAACCACGAAACCATCTCTAACGGGGATGGATCCTAATCTGCAATCCAAGGAAAACACAAAACTGACCTGGGTGTGATTGAACCTGGCAAAATTTTGAGCCACACCCATACGGCTTTTGAACCCTAGTAACATGTCAAACAAAGCGGGAATCTCGCCAGCTCTGAGGGAGTCAACTTGTCTCACTTTTGGAAAAGAGTCCAAGCCTCTTGGCACTATTGTCTCGCGAAAAAGTATAACAACCTTTTTGGGGCGAACTTGGTCCAATTTGTTGAAATACACGCCCATGGCCCAAATCCCGTCTTTTTCACTTCTGAGCGAATGGCCCAGCAAAAGTGACCAAACTTGTTGCTTTCCACTAAATATGGGTTTTCCTAAAAAGTACAAAAATCAGGGTTTCCCAAAATGTACATCAGGAAGTGAAGTGTTTCTGAACAACCAAACAATCAGCATCCGTTTGTTTCCCTTGGACGTGCCGAAGCGCGTCCTGCTTAGGCTCAAAATGTTGTAGCCTGCCCATCCGCGGATTCAAACGCTGAGAAACCAATTTTTTGGAAATTCTCGAGGCAAAGAACCATCTTAAACTTTTAGTGGGTGGCGAATGTGCGGACGAATTATGATTTACCCGCAGTTTTCTACTGGATCTGTGGAAAATGCGATGTCGCCTGTGGCTGGCTGGCTCTCCTGAAGTCTTCTGCCAGGCCAAAGTCCCGCAACATCTCCACGCCGCCAAAGCAGGACCAAAACAAGGCCTGACGTCCATGTGATGCGTAGGTTTCATCCATTTTGTGTTTCCTGGGACCCGGACAAATAACCCAGCAGCACCGATTCCCTTCAAGCGTCGCCTGGGGCAAAAAGAAGAAAAAACAAGATATTTCCAGTAGCACCGATTTCCTTCAAAGCCAACGAGGAAATATCAGGTTTTTCCCGAAAGCATTGCGAAGGGTTCTTCCGGTGCTGCGTTCTGCACAGCTCAACTGCATAGGCAAATTGACAGTGAATTGCATAGAGGCATGCATAGGGAAGGGCAAGTACAGAGTGAAATGCATAGATGCATGCACAGGGAAAATAGAAAGTGAAATGTATAAAGGCATGCACACGGAAAGTAAACAATGCAATGCATAGAGGCATGCATAGGGCAAGAACTGAGGCAAGTGCATAGATGCATGCACAGGCAAAGTAGACAGTGAAATGCATAGAGGCATGCGCAGGAAAAGTAGACAGTGAGATGCATAGAGGCATGCACAGGGAAAGTAGACAGTAAGGCATGCACAGAGTAGACAATGAAATGCATAGAGGCATGCGCAGGGCAAGTACAGAGTGGAGTGCATAGAGGCATGCGCAGGGAAAGTAGACAGTGAAATGAATAGAGGCATGCACAGGGAAAGTACACAGTAAGGCATGCACAGAGCAGACAATGAAATGCATAGAGGCATGCGCAGGGCAAGTACAGAGTGAAGTGCGTAGAGGCATGCGCAGGGAAAGTAGACAGTGAAATGAATAGAGGCATGCATAGGGCAAACACAGAGTGAAGTGCATAGATGCATGCACAGGGAAAGTAGACAGCCAAATGCGTAGAGGCATGCATGCGTAGGGAAAGTGCACAGTGAAATGCGCAGCGATCTTGCATTCCTTCTCGCACAGCGGAAACCTGCACGCTTTCTTAAAATTAGTTCTTTAGGCGGCCCGGTGGGACCAAGCGCTCTCTGCAAAAATGAGACCCTCTCAAAGATCGGCAAGGTCGATGTGCAAAAACTGAGGGTGACGCGCGCGACCCTCTGCGCGGATCGGCGTGGTTGATGTGCAACAAGGAGTAATTTTCCGATTCGCGTGGTGTGCGCACGACCCTCTGCGGGGATCGGCGCGGTCGATGTGCAAAAACTGCGGGTTCTTGCGATTCTTGCCGTGCGCGTGCGATCCTCTGCGGGGATCGTGCGTGTCGGATCGCTCTCGCTATGGGCCCGTGCGAATCTTTGCGGTTCGCGCGACCCTTTGCGGAGATTGTGCGTGTCAGATCGCTCTCGCTGTGGTCTCGTGTGAATCTTCGCATATCTTCGCGGTCTGCGCGCGACTGTCTGCGGGGATCAGGCTGCAAAGTCGCAACTTGCCAAGTACAAAATGCAGTGTCCCCGCAGCTCCGGCTGCAAAGTCGAAAAGTAGACAGTGAAACGCACAGAGGCATGCATAGAGAAAGTGCACAGTAAAATGCATAGAGGCATGCATAGGGCAAGTACAGAGTGTAATCCATAGAGGCATGCGTGGGGAGAGTGCACAATGAAATGCATAAATGCCTGCACCGAGTGACAGTGAAATGCATAGAGGCATGCGTAGGTAGAGTGCAGAGTGAAATGCATAGAGGCATGCACAGGGAAAGTAGACAATGAAATGCATAGTGGCATGCACAGAGTAGACAGTGAAATGCAAAGAGGCATAGATGCATGCACAGGGAAAGTAGACAGTGAAATGCATAGAGGCATGCACGGGGAAAGTAGACAATGAAATGCATAGTGGCATGCACAGAGTAGACAGTGAAATGCATAGAGGCATAGATGCATGCACAGGGAAAGTAGACAGTGAAATGCATAGAGGCATGCACAGAGTAGACAGTGAAATGCATACAGCATGCACAGGGAAAGTAGACAGTGAAATGCATAGAGGCATGCGCAGGGACAGTAGACAGTAAATTGCATAGAGGCATGCATGGGGCGAGTACTGAGGCAAGTGCATAGATGCATGCACAGGGAAAGTAGAGGGTGAAATGCATAGAGGCATGCGCAGGGAAAGTAGACAGTGAAATGCATAGAGGCATGCGCAGGGAAAGTAGACACTGCAATGCATAGAGGCACGCATGAGGCAAGTACAGAGTGAAGTCCGTAGATGCATGCGCAGGGAAAGTAGACAGTGACATGCATAGAACATGCGCAGGGCAAGTAGACACTGACATGCATAGATGCACACACACACACATAAGGCAAGTACAGAGTGAAGTGCATGGATGCATGCGCAGGGAAAGCAAAAAGTGAAATGCATGGAGGCATGCACAGAGTAGACAGTGAAATGCATATGTGGAAAAAATGGACCGATTCAGGCTGCGTGTCATGGAAAATGCTTTCGGGCCACCCGTCTTCTAGTTGTTCTTATTCACATGGAAGGCATTGGTGTGTTTTTGAGGCTCAGTACCCTGAAAAAAAAGGTTGATGTCAAGGGAACCAAAAGGAAAATATGGTCAGGTGTGTCTACAGGTGGCCCCCTTGTTGACGCTTCCCTGTTGCCTTCCTTCAAAGAACCCCCAACAGGAGTGTGCCCCTCAAAAACACCACGCCTACTGTTGACCCCATTTTCATCAATCGTTTATGGATAGGGGTGTTCCACTCCAAACGTCTGATTCCCCACTAGATTCAGGGAAAAGCACCCACCTATAAACTGGTGTAAGACCAAAGAAACCATAGGAGCCGCGGACACCTCATAGGCTGAAGTGAGCCCATGGCATTTTTGTTTGGGACCCGAGGCCGGTGTCCCATGAAAGAAGCGACACCCAATTTCGTGCCAGGGGGTAGGTGCAAGGCACTCAGAACATGCCATTGAAGCGGCAAGTTTCGGGAAGCCGCCTTAGAAGAAGGGACCTTGCATATGCTCACCCACCGCTCTTGAATTCATCCCTGTCTGAACATGCAGCCAGTCAGCTATGGGGCCACCTTGCTTGCAATTGAGAGACAGGACACACGCCAGTGCTTGCCACGTCGCTGCAACTCGCCACTGAAATGCTTGCACTTGGGAGTAGTATGTGGCCTTAGCACATCCAGTGCAGTCCGTGGCTTCCCAGCTGCATCTTTCTCAACTTGAATTGAGGACACCAGGTTAGACTGTGCCCCTTCTCGTTGGGGGTCGGCGAACTTGATCCTCGACCTTGCCTTCAGGCTCCACACTTTTCTGCTGGCCCCCAGTGTCCAGAGCAAGGCGCCAGTGTCCAGAGCAGGTACATGATGGCGAAGCATATAAACCTTGAGTGTGATCAAGCAAAAGCTGCAAAGCCGCCCCAGTGCATCGCAGTTGCCACTATAGTCGGCAACCAGCCACTCTGCTCTTGCTCTTGGTTTTTAGATGGTTGTTCCGTTGGTTACCTCCTCTCCAGGAAAAAAAGAATGACTCGCCCCAGAAAGGCTCTTCCCCGTCCTTGATGGCCCGTCACTTCTTGGGTTCTGGTCACTGCCCTGGCGATGGCTCCACTGAGAGAATTCAAACCTCCGTTGCGAAGCATGCTGAAACAAAGCTTCGCTTACGAAAGGACGAAAGGACACGCCACCTCGCCCAAGTGACACCTCCTGCAAAACTAGCAGTGTTAAACAACATGCCAACATACATGATCAATGCGTGAATGACAGGCTGAGTAGTGACAGGATGTGCAGCATTCTAAGGTTGGCAACGTTGGGGGCAAGACACTTGCAGCAGGAGCAACATCGAACATCTCAACCTTGAACCCGCCCTCAAAAACAAAAAGCAACAACAACAACCAACCAACCAACCAACCAACCAAACAAACAAACAAACAAACAAACAACAACAACTGATCAGTGCTCAATCTCAACCCCACCAACAAAAACCTACGAGCTGCTGCCAAGGATCATCTCATGCGGGCCAGGTTGCCCTGGGTGCTTGCGGAAGCTGGGGCTGAACCGCATGGCAAAGCTGGGCAAGCTGCCCAGGATGACGCCTGCTCAACAGCTCGGTTGCTTTCTGCTCCCCTGCTAAAAGTTGAACTTTTAGTGGTTTAATACGGAAAACCCATTAATTAGTTGGCAACAAGTTAAAGTCCTAACATCCAAGCAAAAAGCAACAGATTTGGATTGGTTTGGCTGTTCTGTGGCTTCCCAGTTACCCGAAATCTCAAAAAAAACAGGGGTTCCAATCCCCAAACGAGTCCAAAGCGCCTAAGTGTTTCCCGCGCCGGGGAAACAAGCGACGAATGTGAAGCTGCCGCATGCCAAGCGTCGAACGGAGAGGCTTCCTACGGCTTCCGAGATGCGCCTCCGGTGGTACCCAGGACCTCGCTCAGAGTGTTGCTCAACGTCACCTCGGGCAATGTTGACAGCGATGATCCACCCCCAGTGAGTTATACTCTTCTAAAAGGGAACTTGTTCAAGAACAGGTGGCCTAAGTTTAAATCAGGCGAATTGGGGCTAGTACCTTGCCAGATATGGCAGAACGTCAATGGAAGGCACAAGTCCCAGCTCAAACACAAACAACTCCTTCCCGGGCTCACACTGTTCAAACACACCCCTATGACTCCAACTCATTTTGCCGTGGGGATAAAGATGATGTGTGGCAACTTCTGCGGAATTATACCCCCGCCTCGCATTTCTGCGTTGTGTTTAAAAAAGTGAATCGTCTAACAAAAGTCACAGCGAAACCCATATCAGGCTCCACCACCTGCTTGAATTACAGGCATCCGGATCCTCTACATCGGCTAGTAAAGTGAACACTTAGACTGGCCCCAGCTGTCCGTTGAAGGACCCATTTTTCACACGGAACCCCAAAAACGAGGCTCAAAAGGAGATTCCTCCATTGGTGTTTGTTGGGTTGCATGTGAAGACCTGCAGGGGAGTGTCCTTTACAGGATTTGCCTCCTCAACACTGGGGCTGCTCCAGATCCGCTGCTAAAACGTTGTTAGCTTTGAGTCCCTAAAAACCTAAAAACCTAAGGAACCGGATGGCCAAGAACCACCAAGAACATCAGCTGGTAGCATATATACATAGATATTGTTATATTATATATATATATATATGTATTGGCCCCCATGTACTTACGGTGTTTCCCGGGCTGTTCCCTATGAACTTGACAGCCGAAATTGGGCACACACCTATTGGAACCCGGATTCCAGATTTCAGCTTGAAGCCCGGAAGAACGCACACAATGAGATGGTTATCCGTTTTTCGTCTTAAAACCAAGCAAAAGGCTTGTTGCTGTTGACCCCTCTGCAAAAAGTGTCCAACTTGCTCCGGATCCAAAGAAAAACAAATCTGACCTGTCAACAACCAAAAAGTTAAAGTTCAAAGATCCGTTGCGACATAGCCATATAGCCATAAAGAAGGAATGTCCTTACCTTAAAAAGACACACAGACCCCACCCTATTTATCGCCAAGTAGCCCAAGAGAAGGGCAGAAGCCAGGCGACCAGGATGGCACAGGTCGCCACTCCGCTGCGGAACCTGGTAGGGAATGACCGTTCCTGGTGTGGGAAGGAACCGGTTTTGGGGATTATTGAATAATGGAAACCATAGGGGGTGGGTTTACAGGGGTCGTTCCAACTCATTCCCTGCTCAGAACCAGCAAGTAAGTAGGTTTTGCATACAACCGGAGAAGTAAGTCAGCCACCCCTGTTGTATGACTCATAGCCCTGGTTACAACCTACTAGCAAGTTGATCATTTGGGCTATCCTAGTTCGAGGGTGAGCTTTCCTGTTGGTTTCCTGTAAGTGAAAAGGGCGCCACTTAAGGTGGCTTAAGCGATGTAACAAAGGCTGCTCCCGTTGGACAGTTCTCTCTGCATACCCTGCAGCCATTTAAGCTTTGCGTGCTATTGGTTCGGGGACTTCTGCCGCTCAGATTAACCAAACACACACCGCTTTGGTGGTCTAAATGTGGGCAGCTCGAGCTGGTCAATGCGCTGTGCCGCAAGAAAGGACATACTTCCAACGCAGTGGCAAGCAAAGTCATCCAGCAAAGTGTACTGGCTGACTTGCCTTCCGCCAGCGTTCATCTCAAAGAATCTCACCAAAGATAAACATAAGATAAACAAGTTATGAACTTGAACACTTGGATGCTGAATCTACTTAGTAAGTGGGCGTCCATGCTTAGGCAGCCATGCCTGTCCCACTACTTGCCTGGCGCAGGTGAAACATAGGCGAGCGCCGGTGCCATCCCCCGCAACCCGCTTCATGTTCTACCGTCTACTCTGCTACGAAACTGCCTTCCGAGCTTGACCTCAGACCCTACAACACAACCACCTAAACACACCAAATGCAGTGAAGAACACACCAAACGCAGCGAATTGTGACAAGTTGATGGGTCTCAAACTGTGTCTGAGAAGAGCTCAAAACTTCGACGCCGCCCTTGCCTCACGCACCACACCAGGGATGCCACCCAGGCCTGGGCAACCGAAGCTCTGCGGGGATCCTAAGGTTGGCCTAGAGAAGGGGTCTCCGACAATAGGCGATTACCCAAAAACAACGTGACTAACAAAACTAGGTGTCCAAAAAATGGCGATGGTTCCAACTAACATGGCACCTGTGTACCTGGAAGATCAGCTTGGGACCAGCTGTCGGGTGCCATGTCGGTGGGAGACAGGGTTTCCTTTTGGCTTCCCTTTCAGAACCCTCAAGCAAAGGTACCCTCAAAGACAACCCAATTGGAAGAGGTCCATGCGGATGAAAGGGGCTATCTGTGAAAGCACAGCCCAAACCAATAGAAAAAAAGGTTGATGCTCCAAATCAGTTGAGTCACAATCAACGCCTGGTACCCAAGGGGTCTATCCAAAACCATGTAAAGAACTGCAAGGTCGGAAATCCGCACCTCTTTCTCTAGTTGCTTTGATTGTGGCGATACAACTAATCTGACTCCGCCTTGTGCCGATTTTCACAGAGGTTGCCAAAACGGGCGACCCTCCATTTGGTGGCAACCCCCAAGTTGGAGTTGATCAACCCACGTGGCTGCAGCTCAGCGATAGACCATAAACATGAAGCAACTGCTGCACCTCAAATGCTGCATGCCGCTGTCGGCTGCTGCTTATGCATGAGAAGGAAGCCAAGCAAATTTTCGGGGACCTCCATTTGAAGAGAAACCCCATGGCAAGTCTTGGTACTGGCCCCCCAAGTAAGGGGCCTTCATGAGTCAGAACTCTGCCCGCCGGCTTGGTGAGCTCGTGAACTCATTTGCCAAGATGCGCGTTTTTAATGCCACTCAATCCCAATTCTATCTTCCGGATTTCATTACTTCGTGCAATCCTGACCGACCAATCCTGACCGACCGATCCCGAATCCTGGCCGATCACTTGCCCGGAATCCCACTGGCACTAGCTTACCACTTCAAAGTCAGCCCTGAAAGAATAGAATGGGAGACATCCCAAATTTGCACAACCCCCTCAAAACACACACCCACACATACAATTTGCCCAGTCCTGGGTGACCAACCATCGATCGGAACTCCTGACCCATCGGCCACACCAAACACCGGCGAGGTGCTGACACGTAGACCAGGGCTTGGCGGTGGTAGCTGCGCTCCAGCCAGGGCTTGCTACTGAGCCACTGCGCCTCTGACCTGTGAGTCAAATTGTCTTAGGGCTCCCCACTGTGGGTAGTTGCGAAATCCAGAAATCGCACCACCTCAAAAAGAAAAAACAACATTTGTTTGTTGGCATTTACAGGGGAATCGAATCTTGCCAGGGTTTCTGATCGGTGCTTCGAAATGGATTTCAACACCCGAACAGAACAGTCATACAGGGCAAAGGTGCTCTAAACACCCCAAAGAACAATAGGGCAAGCTGATGCTCAACCAAAGGGGAGAGAGAACCCTGAGATAAGGACTCTGCCTACCAATCAAAAGACTCAAAAGCGTGGACTTTCCCCTAGCTTCAGCGGGAGAAAAAGGTCTCCCCCAATTCCATTGCTTTACTCTTCCCGAAAGGAAAATGGTACTAGAAATGAAGATCCCCAACATTCCCCCCCCCAATTCCATGCCAGGGACTGGGGAGGTTTTTATCCAGCTGCTTTTTGTGGCTTTTTCGGCTTTTCCGGAAAGAATCCTTAAACATGCAAATTCGATGCCTCTGATCTCCGCACCCGGGCCGTCGGTCGAGGTGTTCTGTGTTTTTGTCCAAGCGTTCTGAAGGGGATCCGAATCTTTCCAGAAAACCACCAAAATCCTGGGGACACTTCGTTGGAAAGAAAGATGAAAAGACTTGGGAAACAGAAACTCCACCCATCCCTTTTTGAGGGGAAAAACACCTTGCGAATCTGTGGAATGACATGTGAGCGGTGATCAAAATCAATAGGCCAAATTGCGATGATATCATTTGGCGCTTCCGCGTGCTTCCGCGCGCTTCCGCGCTGCGGGTGTTTGCTTCCGCGCTCTCATTTCCCTTCCGCGCCTTCCGCGGCTTGCGTCTCTTTCTTGCCAAGCCAACACAACTAGATATTGAGTTTGTCATCCACCACCCGTTGCTTTCGTGAAAAGCGTTGCCAACAGGATCACTGCAGCAATTTTGCTGTCCCTGAGAGGCTGCAGCTTGACGGGGCTTGAACCTCCAACTGTTGCCTCGTATCCTGGACCTCCGGGAGCTCAGTGGAGCCCAGACAGCTGTAGCAAATGGATTGTGGGTCCCATACTCATAACGACGCTGAAACGCGAATCCTGATAGATTTGCAACCGCAAACGTGAAGCCTCACGACACACCGCGGCTAGCGAGAACAACGCATCACACACAAGGCATCCAAATCACGGAACCCTTCCGCCGTCCTTCCGCGCCCTTCCTCCAGCGTTCCGCGAATTGAGCCCCGCATCAATCTCCACGCATTTTAGGCCTGGGCCAAAGAACGATTTGTTCGGCCCTAAAAACGATTTGTCCGGGCCGAACAAATCGTTTTAGTGCCCGGAAGCTAAAACGATTTGTTCGGCCCGAACAAATCGTTTTAGTGCCCGGGGAGCTAAAGCGATTTGTTCGGCCCGAACAAATCTGCCCGGGAGCTAAAACGATTTGTTCGGCCCGAACACTGCCCCTAACCATTTCGCTTTAACTGACAAGTAAATCTCGGCCCAACCGGCCATTGCAGAAGAAGCCCACGTGGTGACTTGGTAAAGCACTCTGACTGGTGACGGCCAAAACAGGCCAGTGAAAATCGTTTGGTTTTGTGGCCGGGGTGCAGAAACGATTTTGTTTGCCCGAAGAAACAATTGTTGGGTCTGGGGAGCAAGAGATTTGATTTCGATGCCTTTTGACGCTCCAAAAATGTTCCCCTTCCGCGCCCTTCCGCTGTGCAAATTTCGTAGTCAACTTCCGCCGGCCCTTCCGCAAGCTTCCGCGGCCTGCGGAAAACCTTCCGCGCTGATTGATTTCAGCGCTCCCTTACTTAAATTGCTTTGAGCATTTTTGATCGCTGCTCATGTGGAAAAGGCATCCTCTGCTTTTTTTTTGGGGGGGGTTCTGACTTCAAAGCTTTGGACCCCTCCCCGCCCCCCACCAGCAAAAAACACAAAACAACCACTGGAGGTTACCAACAGCTGGACGTGGCCCTTGGCCAAGAAAGCTCTGCGCTGGGCTTGAATGCGCAGCATGGCTATGAGATGTCTTGACTCACAGCGGCAAAGAACATCTTTGGGATTGGCTGGAAGAAATGTTTCAAGATTGCGCCTAGCCCTTGGTGCGCTCAATTGCGTTTCGCCTAGTTGCGCCTAGTTGAGCCTTGCACGCCATTGAGCTTCCAGTGACGCTGTCCCTTGAGCGAACAAATCAGCAAACCAAATGGCTCCATGTTTTTTGAAAGGGAACCACCTCACGGGTTGGTGGACATGAATCCCAAATGATGTCCAAGGGCTCCCCTGTCAAAGCTCTGGTCCAAATAATTGTCATCTAGTTGCCAAAGGTCCCCTGCTTAGTATAAACAATGCGGAGACTTCCCAAGACTGAGACGTGGCAAGAAAACTGTAGGTCTCTGCACTTCTTGAATCCGAGCTATCCCAAGGGCCAAGCTCCCGAGCGCAAGCTTGGTACGTGGCCCACAGTTGGCTATGTCATTTTTTGCGGGAACATGAATCCCCTCCGAAATGATGCCCACCAAAGAGTTCCCAATTAAAACAGTCTTACCCGTGGCCGGTTGGGATTCCAAAACATGCTGGCGCGTAGGGAAGGACCCAGTTGGGAATGATTCTAGGGATTCCCTTCAAGGAAAAACCAAATCGGGGATTCTCTCTTGGGGTCATTCCATTTCTCATTCCCTGCTGACCAGCAGATCATTGACGGCATCGGCTGCTGGCCAAGGCGCGGTAACTCGGCATCCTGACATCTCCGAAGTGACCCCTGTGGCTTTGTGAGTCGTTTTGCCAACCCCCCCAACAAAAAATCCGTGGTTTCCCTGCGGTTTCCCAAGAACACCCAAAAAGGATAGCCTCCAAAAAAAAACAGGTCCGCCAATTCAGAAACGCCCATCTGACACCATTTCAATTGGGCCCGTCAGGGTGCCGGTCCAGGACCCTGAAGGAAAGGAAGCCAACCAGCCAAAAGGACCCCCCCCGATGAAACGAACTGGAGGAATTGAGGATTTGTTCAAAACCTGGCACCTTGAAATCGAGACCCACCGTCAAAGCCGGGCGGAAGCCAATATGATGTGAAGCCAAACACCAATACTTTTTTAGATGACCCGAGAAGCCAGCCGTTTTGACCAAAAAATGGGAAGCCATGTTGTGAAGTTTGTTCCAAATACAGATTTAGAGGGTGCCGCTGAACTCCGCATTTGGTTCCGTGAAACGCCCAAGACTGGCTGCTCATGACTCGAGTCGCAGCCAACACCTACCCTTCCTTCCAATCATGGAAAGCAGGCCTTTTCAAGCGAAGTCTGCAGAAACGTGTCCATGATTGTTGGAAAGAGTGTACAAAAGGGGACGCAAAGCCAAGAATCAGAGTGCCAGATATCCGCACCACTTCCTTCAACGACCATGGATGACAATTCGTCCTTGGAGAGGCCTCCCTTCTCAACACGCCTTGATCCAAGGGTTTGAATCTGGCAAGGCGCACGTGTTTCATTTCAGGCCCAGCTATATAAATACGTTTCTGTCGTGAAACGCACGATATGCGCCTAGCCGCAAAGAGTTGCCTGAAAATTGGTGGAAACGAAAAGCACACCAATGACTTCGGCCTTGTGCAAAGCATGCCAAATCCAAGGCGGAAGGTCGCCAAAGACCTACAAGTAAGGCCGACAAGCAACCCGCTCAACCCCATAAATTCATGATTACTGGGTTGCCAACTATGGCCTGCGGCACATCCCGAGAACTACAACGTGCATTTCACCTGCGTGTGTCAAAATAGGAGGACCCCCCAAACTGGCGGTTGTCCTTGGGGAGTCCCTTCAAACCAACCTAAAACGGGCTACCCTAAAAAGACGAACAAACTACCAACCAAACAAGCCTGCAAACAAGCAAGCAAACCAGCAAACAAACCAATTATATACAAATAATACACACAAGCAAGCCAACCAACCAACCGACCGACCGACCGACCGACTGACCGACCAACCAACCAACAAACGACCACAAACATACAAGCAAGCAAGCAATCAAGCAAAGGAAAGACAAGCAAAGAAAAGAAAAACAAGAAACAAGAAAGAATGGAAGCAAGCAAGCAATCAAGCAGGCAAGCAAGCAAGCAAACACACACACACACACAAACACAAACACAAACACAAACACAAACACAAACACAAACACAAACACAAACACAAACACAAACACAAACACAAACACAAACACAAACACAAACACAAACACAAACACAAACACACACACACACACACACACACACACACACACACACACACACACACACACACACACACACACACACACACACACACGCACCCACACACACACACACCAACAGGCACACACACACACACCGACACGCACGCACGCACGCGCGCACACACACACACACACCACCCACACATGCATCACTCCAGCCTTGTCCAGCAGAAAGTCCTTCATGACACGGGGGATCTCTCGCAGCTTCTCGACAAAGGCTGCCGATGGCTGCATGACCTCTGGAAGAAAGGTTCCCACTCCACGTTCTTTTCCCGAGTTCCACCCGAGGGGCGCCTTGGTACCCAAGGAGGTACCAAATCATCCTACTCAACCGAACCCCCCCGGAAAAAAAAAAAAAAAAAAAAAAAAAAACATATTAAAAGAAGAAGAAAAACAAACAACAACAAAAACATGACGGTTGAAAGGTACTGACTGGGTGTACACGCGCGTTCACACACACACACATAACACACATGCGCGTACACGCACACGCACATGCTGGCACGCACGCGGACACGGATGCGCAGTGAGGGAAGACCCTTCCACCTAGAAAGCAAACGGGAAAGCTTCTTGCGCATGGGTTTGCATGCCCCCTTTGGCATGAAGATGCACTTGCTTGGCTAAAGGTGGACAGGGCTAGCAACAGGTCTCGTCGCAGTGAGGGTTTCCCTTTAACTTACCCTTTTCCAAGCATGGAAGCGGACATTTGGGACCTTTTCAAGAGGATGGTAATCTCCAAAAATCCCTTTCCACTTACATGACAACGAGTGCTGGAAAGGTAGAGGATAATGATCTCGATTGAAGACTCTTTGGTGGAAATGTTGACTTAAGGGTTCATGTCCACCAACCACTGAGGGTACACTCCCTCAGCAAAGCTTCCAGAAGGCCGATCCTGGAACCAAGTCTTCCAAAGCTACCTTCGGCAGCTGCCATGTTAGTCTGGGGGAGTATGCTCAAGTTTGACAAAATAGCACATTGAACCTTCCGTGCCAGGTAGCTCCCGGCGAGGTGGTCTCTGGTCGGCCCTGAGCGCGTCTGGCTACCGGTTAGGTTTATGGCCGCTTATTTGCGTGGCTTCAACAATAAGTCCACTGGTGACATGATGTTTCCCCAAAAAGGGCATGAGAAAAGGCGATTTTCGCCCTAGCCCTCTGGTTTGTATAAGAAAGAGCCAAACCCAAGAGCAAACCAATACATGCTAGTCCGCTCGGCGAAAAACCTGCCCACAATCCAAGAAGGGTTCTGATCGAACCTTAGAAGCGCCCAGAATGATTTGTTTGGCCTACACATATTTCCAGCACTCACCAACTGCCGCTCATGATCCACTGCACAAATCAGGTCGACTGCGTGAAACCGCCCCAAAAACTCTGAACACGTTGTTTGCCGCTGAAACCGTCTCCCAAGTCTAAAATCCCGGAACTCGAGTGAAACCCAGTGAGTAGCTGAAACCCGGTTGTGCGCGGGACATGCGGCGGTCATGACACACACATCACGCCCATGCAGCTACCCTCGGCATCACGCACATCTCAATTGTGTGCACAAAGGTTTCAGAACGGAATGCACACTTTTCTCGGGGTGGTCTGGCCCGGTAAAAGAGAACCAGATGAAAACAAAGGCAAACACACACACACACACACACACACACACACACACACACACACACACACACACACACACACACACACACACACACACACACACACACACACACACACACACACACACACACTCACACACACACACACAAACACGCCCACACAACAAAAACAACGCAAACACACAAACACACAAACAGACAAACAAACAAACAAACAAACAAACAAACAAACAAACAAACAAACAAACAAACAAACAACCACACACACACACAAAGACTCACAAAACACACACACACAAAGACACACACACAAAGACACAAACACACAAAGACACACAAAGACACACAAAGACACACAACCACTCACACACAAACAACCACACACAAAAAAGAAGAAACAAAAACAGAACAAATAAACAACAACATAAACAAACACACACACACACACACATACAAACACACACACAAAGACAAAACAAACAACAGAGCAGAAACAAACACACACACACACACAAACACAAACACCCACACACACCAACAAAAACATCACACACACAACAAACACAAACACACAAACACACAAACACAAAACACACACAATCACACAAAGACACAAACACACAAAACACAAAACACACACACAATCACACAAACACGCAAACACACAAACACACAAACACAAACACAAACAAACAACAACGCAAACACACAAACAAACAAACAAGCAAACAAACAAACGAACGATCAAACAAACAAACAAAGAAACACCGACACACACACAAACACATACACAAACACGCACACACACACACACATACACACACACACACACAAAGACACACACACACACACCACACACACACACACAGACACACAAAGCCACACACAAAGACACACAAACAAGAACAAACACCAGTACAACCACAAACACACACGCACAAACAACTACACACACACACCTACAGGCACATACACAAACAACCGCAAACACACACACACACACACACACGCGCAGACAGAGCCACCAACAAAAACAACACACACACACAAACGAACAAACACAAACAAACACAAACAAACACAAACACACAAACACGCAAACACGCAAAGACACAAACACACAAACACAGACACACACACACACACACACACCAACAAAAACATCACACACACACACAAACACACACACACACACACACACACACACGCAGAAACTCATTTGAACGGGACAAGGGACAAGTGATGAGAAACCACATAACGCATTTTGTTGGGTTTCCTATTTGAATACACACTACTGGGTGGACAAAATCCTGCACCAGTTGGTAGGTGGTTAACCGGCGCTGGTCGGCGTGGGTTTTGTCCGTCCTCCCATCTCCTATTTAGATGTTTCTCTGACTGGCGGACCCCTTGTTGACCGAAGCAAACCAACGAAAACACCAGCCTGGATCATTGAAATCATGGAAATTTCACGTAAAATTCGGATACTACCATTTTTTTCAGGGTCTCAGTGAAAAAACACAGAGTTTTCAAACTCCTGGTGTTTGAGGTAAAACTCCCAGAGATTGATGGTCACTCCTGGACTTTGGTGAAACCCCTGGAAATCGCAATTCAGTGCTTCACGGAAGGGGCCCTCCAATTCAGAAATATTCAGAATCAGAATCCTTTGCAAGTTCTTCTGAGTTCAGAACTACTCAGAATTCGGAGTTGTTTTTCAGATTTTTTGGCCTTTGGGCGACAAATTTGCAAAACCGGAAAGCACCACACCTGAAACTCAGCGCAAACAAAAACGCAAGAAGCCCGCAAACTCCCGTAAATAAACAAAAAACAGAGTTTCCAGAGAGTGTATTTTCAGTAAAAGCAGGGGAATACCCATTCGAGTCCACACACTTGCACAATTGCTGGGATAGTGTGCAGAGTCGTCGTCCGATTGCGGGCCCGAACAACAAAAAAAAGAAAAACAAACTTGTCTCCAGCTGTTTCCCCCAAGAACCACTCCTAGTTTTTGATTTCACTCCTGCCTTTTGCAAGCCACTCCTGCTTTTTGTTTCATGCATTTGAAAAACCTGAAACTCCTAGTTTTCAGAGGGTCTCCTGGAAATAACCCGGAGAACGGACGAACAGAGAAATAACCCGGAGACGGAGGACCCAGGAGCGTATTATTTTTTGAGAGGTACCGATTTTCCCAAAATGAAGCAAAGCCTTTGCTTCTTTTCTCTTTTCAAGTCCATCGTCTCACTGGACTCGTTAGCCTCTTTTGGGCCCCCGAGTCTCCGCGTCCGAACCCGCCTCGGCATCGGGCTCCCGGAAAGCCTCGAGGCAGGCCAGCAAGGCCGCGTCCGCCAGCTCGGAGTGCTCCAGGGAATCGATGACCTCGGCACTCGGAATCGGAGCGGATCCATGGTACGAAAAGACGAAAAGTAGAACCTGTCCTTGCAGAAACTGCAAAAGAGAATCGGAGCCTCAAAAAAGGAGGCTTCCTTTTTGTGCCCTTTTAAAGCCCCCCAAAAAGACCCTCCACCATTTTGAGAACCCCCCCGCAATTTCGAGGCATGTGCTCAAAGATGCCACCTGCACATGATGTATACCAGCCTTAAACAAAATCGCACACCGCGAATCAATGATGGCCACACCAGGTACCAGGTAGGATTGGCAGGAAGGTCAACCAATATTCATACTGTGGTTGCGAAATTCATCCAACGCACCACCGTTCAGACACCCAACGGCTGCCCAATGGTCTCTAATTCGATCCCCCAACGCAAAAATGCCGTGACAAACGTCACGGCATCATTCCCAAGGAAACATTCCGTGGTGCGATGTCTGGCTTTCGTCCATCCATAGGGTTCCCTTGTCCTTTTTGAAGGTCATCTCGTCAGCTGGCAACCGGGGACATGGAGTTGGACACAGACCTTATGACACAAAAATAATTAGATGGGTTTCTCTGACATACATCTAATCCCGTGGAACCCCTCTATTTCTATCCAAACTCACAAGGGACCCCTATGGAATTGGCAGCCTCACTTCCGGCTAGGGCCGCGGGCGGAGGCTTCCTTCTCCTCCAGTGCCTGCAAACATCAAAGGTGCTTCAGCAGTAGCCAGGAGAAACCATCTACAACCAGGTGAAGATACCTGGCTGCCATCCCGAATCATCCAAAGGTGCATCAGTTACAGTAGCCAGGGGAAACCATGTGCAACCTATACAACCTACAGGTGAAGATACCTTTCTAGCTGTCCCAAATCCAAAGCAATCCAAAGCTGAAATGGTCTCGACCCCATGACGCCCTTTTGTGGACCCACCAACAAAAATTACCTCAGGGATGCCAATTCGCAATTCGGAGGTCAGAATTTGTTTTGCAGGGCCCTTGACTAGGGGCCCAGCAAATTTGGGGGAAGGGGCGCGCGCCTATTGTGGCCATTTTGATTCGTTGGGCATTTGGTGCCCTTTGATTCGTTGAAACCCACAGCCCCCCAAACCCCCGGGAGCCTGGAAGAGCCACCAGGGCGCCGTCACCGTGCGCAGCACTGCCCCCGCCGCTGTCTCGAACCTCGGTCCGTCGAGGCCTGTTGCATCAGCTTCCCTGGTGCTTTGGATGTGAACCTCCGGTTCCACTGAATGGGAAACCACACTCAAGCTCCAAACCACGAGCAAGAGGGAAGCTGATAATGTAATATTTATACATTTGCACATAGATGCGTGATTGATTTTTTGAGGGTACCCTTTTCAATTCATTTAGAAGGAAAGCCAACACGAAAGCCACCATTTGAGTCTGTTGACACATACGGAGCACCCAGATATCCCATATCATCCCAACAGGCCTTCGGGGGCCCCAAGTCTACCTAGGGTACAGAATACCAACCAAAGATCCACATGCCTGGGAACAGCTTTGATTTGCTAACCCATCCTCATCATACAACACCCAAGACATACACAAGCCTGGTTGAATTGATGCTCGACTGTCTCATTTGACGTCCCGCCTGATCAGATTCAGACGCGGCCATTGAGCCGGTGACGCCGATGATTGCTTTAGGCAGGAGCTCCACTCCAGGCACTCGGATCGTGACTCGAGCGAACTCTCAGATAAGAGGCCACCCCAAAAGAAAAGGAGAAGTGCAGTTCTCCTCCAAGCCGCAAGCCGGGCCAGGGATCACTTGAATTTGGCTACCTTGACAGTGAAACGGGGTCAATAACTCATCTGCCCACCAACTCTCACAAGGCGTGAGAGCTTCTCGGCTTCTCAAAACTATTGGGCCCCATGATGCCCCATGTTCAACGGTTCCAAAAGGAAGCCCAAAGGAAACAAACAAAGATTTTGGAAGTTCTCTATTTTGAGAAGCGCGTTCAAACGCCCTTGTAGCGTAGTTGCTTCAAACAGATTTGCCTGGATTAATTGACTGGCTAGACCCCAGGTCCGCACAGGCCGCGAGGCACAGACGTGGGAACGGTGGAAAAAAACCAGCTGATATTAGGTGAGCCACATTGCTACAATCATGCCGTTGGTAACAAGGGCCAAGCTGCACGGACCTTCTTCACCCACTCACGGTGATATATCCGGTTGATGGCCATATCCGGTCTTTGGATTCTGTCTGTCTCGCAAGTTGATCCAGGCGGTTGCTGGTTGAGGCAACAAAACTCAATGCTGCACGCTGGTAATGCAATGAGGCCTCTAGGGTAACCAATTCTGGCGCAGTTGCAACAGGTTGGTTGCTTCCACCTGGATGAAATGACCGGCTAGCCCTCGCAAGGTCTCCACATTCAAGCCATGCTTGAATCTATTCTAGCAGCGTCATCACCCCCTAACACCCCTGAACTAACTGGCCATTCATACTGCAAAGGTATAAACAGCATCACACGTAAAATGTGTCCGAGAGAGCGCTGCCCTTTTCGGTTGATCTCACAGGAAACAAGGGGCATTGTAAAATTGGCTGTGAAGGACACTCGCCAACTTTCACTTCACTGGCCGATTCTCACTTGAAAAAGACTGCGGCTCTTCACGACTTCAGCGCTTCCAAGGCCGCCTGCACTCTAGGACCGGCACTGGCACGATGGTGCTGGTAGTGGTGGTGGTATTGTCCGTTCATTTCAAAGGGTTTGCTTGGGAGTACGCTTCGAGGGTGTTCTTCGTGCTTTCCCTATGCTTCACAGGGGTCGAACTTCCAGCCTACAAGTGAACCAAGACCCACCCGAAATATTCACAGGTCAACCCGCAAAATCGTCGGCTCGTTAGGTTGCAGGATACTTTGGCGGTCAGCCATCCGCGAGAAGGGTGGCTTTAGCCTACAACACCCAAGACATACACAAGCCTGGTTGAGTTGATGCTCGACTGTCTCATTTGACGTCTCGCCTGATCAGATTCAGACGCGGCCATTGAGCCGGTGACGCCGATGATTGCTTTAGGCAGGAGCTCCACTCCAGGCACTCGGATCGTGACTCGAGCGAACTCTCAGAGAAGAGGCCGCCCCAAAAGAAAAGGAGAAGTGCAGTTCTCCTCCAAGCCGCAAGCCGGGCCAGGGATCACTTGAATTTGGCTACCTTGACAGTGAAACGGGGTCAATAACTCATCTGCCCACCAACTCTCACAAGGCGTGAGAGCTTCTCGGCTTCTCAAAACTATTGGGCTCCATGATGCCCCATGTTTAACGGTTCCAAAAGGAAGCCCAAAGGAAACAAACAAACACTTTGGAAGTTCTCTATTTTGAGAAGCGCGTTCAAACGCCCTTGTAGCGTAGTTGCTTCAAACAGATTTGCCTGGATTAATTGACTGGCTAGACCCCAGGTCCGCACAGGCCGCGAGGCACAGACGTGGAAACGGTGGAAAAAAACCAGCTGATATTAGGTGAGCCACATTGCTACAATCATGCCGTTGGTAACAAGGGCCACACGGTGATATATCCGGTTGATGGCCATATCCGGTCTTTGGATTCTGTCTGTCTCGCAAGTTGATCCAGGCGGTTGCTGGTTGAGGCAACAAAACTCAATGCTGCACGCTGGTAATGCAATGAGGCCTCTAGGGTAACCAATTCTGGCGCAGTTGCAACAGGTTGGCTGCTTCCACCTGGATGAAATGACCGGCTAGCCCTCGCAAGGTCTCCACATTCAAGCCATGCTTGAATCTATTCTAGCAGCGTCATCACCCCCTAACACCCCCGAACTAACTGGCCATTCATACTGCAAAGGTATAAACAGCATCACACGTAAAATGTGTCTGAGAGAGCGTTGCCCTTTTCGGTTGATCTCACAGGAAACAAGGGGCATTGTAAAATTGGGTGTGAAGGACACTCGCCAACTTTCACTTCACTGGCCGATTCTCACTTGAAAAAGACTGCGGCTCTTCACGACTTCAGCGCTTCCAAGGCCGCCTGCACTCTAGGACCGGCACTGGCACGATGGTGCTGGTAGTGGTGGTGGTATTGTCCGTTCATTTCAAAGGGATTTGCTTGGGAGTACGCTTCGAGGGCGTTCTTCGGGCTTTCCCTATGCTTCACAGGGTCGAACTTCCAGCCTACAAGTAAAACAAGTTAGGTTGCAGGAGACTTTGGCCGGCAGCCATCCGCGAGAAGGGGGGCTTTAGCCTATAACACCCAAGACGTACACAAGCATGGTTGAATTGATGCTCGACTGTCTCATTTGACGTCTCGCCTGATCAGATTCAGACACGGCCATGAGCCGGTGACGCCGATGATTGCTTTAGGCAGGAGCTCTCGGATCGTGACTCGAGCGAACTCTCAGATAAGAGGCCGCCCCAAAAGAAAAGGAGAAGTGCAGTTCTCCTCCAAGCCGCAAGCCGGGCCAGGGATCACTTGAATTTGGCTACCTTGACAGTGAAACGGGGTCAATAACTCATCTGCCCACCAACTCTCAGAAGGCGTGAGAGCTTCTCGGCTTCTCAAAACTATTGGGCCCCATGATGCCCCATGTTTAACGGTTCCATCAGGAAGCCCAAAGGAAACAAACAAACATTTTGGAAGTTCTCTATTTTGAGAAGCGCGTTCAAACGCCCTTGTAGCGTAGTTGCTTCAAACAGATTTGCCTGGATTAATTGACTGGCTAGACCCCAGGTCCGCACAGGCCGCGAGGCACAGACGTGGAAACGGTGGAAAAAACCAGCTGATATTAGGTGAGCCACATTGCTACAATCATGCCGTTGGTAACAAGGGCCAAGCTGCACGGACCTTCTTCACCAACTAACGGTGATATATCCGGTTGATGGCCATATCCGGTCTTTGGATTCTGTCTCGCAAGTTAATCCAGGCGGTTGCTGGTTGAGGCAACAAAACTCAACGCTGCACGCTGGTAGTGCAATGAGGCCTCTAGGGTAACCAATTCTGGCGCAGTTGCATCCGGTTGGTGGTTGCTTCTACCTGGATGAAATGACCGCCTAGCCCACATACAAGCGTGATGGAACCTATTATGGCAGCGTCATCACCCCCTAACACCCCCGAACAAACTGGCCATTCATACTGCAAAGGTATCAAACAGCATCACACACACACAAAATGTGTCAGCGAGAGAGCGCTGCCCTTTTCGGTTGATCTCACAGGAAACAAGGGGCATTGTAAAATTGGGTGTGAAGGACACTCGCCAACTTTCACTTCACTGGCCGATTCTCACTTGAAAAAGACTGCGGCGCTGCACGACTTCAGCGCTTCCAAGGCTGCCTGCACTCCAGGCACTCCAGGCACTCCAGGCACTCCAGGCACTCCAGGCACTCCAGGCACTCCAGGTCCGCGTGAGGAGAGGAACACGAGCTGGCGAAAGCTGAGCCTGCGCAAACTTGTGACACCCAGATTGAACTTCCACGAAGGGTACGGACAGTGGCCCATCCATCCATTGTCCACAGCCAGGGGAAACGAAGGGGAAACATACTGAGCAAAATACTGAACAAAACCAAGTTTTCCACAATCGACCGTCTACCGACCTTTGCAAGCCCCCGAATCTGGGAAGGAGCCGCGGCGAGAGATGCCAGGTGAGCCTCCATGAGGCCCAGCAAAGGATCGCTGCCTTGGATCTTCCTTACTGATCTGCGAAACAACGATACGACCAAAATCCACGGCATGCAAAAGCCCCATGCCCCTTACAATCCCCAAAAGACTCAAAGCCCACTAATCAAGCACCAAGGATCTTGGCACGAAGGTGTGGGAGTATCAATGCCAAAAGATCCGCCTCGCCTAGCCGCCTGAGCAGCTCGCCATCCGACCTTCCGAGCTTGGCTTGATTTGGGTGAGGCAAGTGGCAGAAGTTGCACCTTGCGCCACGGGGACACGCACCATAAGTCAGGAACAGGCAGGGCTTGTTGCAAAGCTGCGGGTGCCCTGCGCTCCCCTGTGATGGAGCTTCCAGGAAAGTCAAGGCCGAGGCTCGCTTCTCCAAGCTCTCCACATAGGAGGTCTCGGGGCAAGGTTGTCGCGGCACATTTGCCCCCGCGCTCTTGGAGCGAGGGCCTGACTTCGGCTCCTTGACTGCGATAAAGGTTGCCTGGAATGTGCAGAACGCCATGACGGCAGTGGGCTGAAGGCTCGGTGGAAGCGTGTGGTCCTTGAGCGACAAATCCATCCAGCAGCGTTTTTTCAGGACGGCCCAACATTCCATGCTCTAATTGCCATCCGACTCTGAACACCCTAATGAAACCCTTGCGTCCCAAGCCACGTGCTCAATGTTTTGTGAGCAAACAACCAACCATGTTTGAAAGGAAACCTGTTCGAGATTACTTAAGTCAGCCAGTGGACAGAGTCGAAAGCCCGGACATGGGGGAGCCCCTGCTCGCTTCCGATATGTTTCTTTCTCAAACATGAGCTGACTGCTGAAAAGTAACAAGTCCGAAAAGGCCCTCACGAACATGGAGCCCCAGGTATCCCCGCAAGCTCGGCAAGAACCTTGGGCCTCTGAAGGCATGGGTTGCCTATGTCCTCGAGAGCAAATACGCGTATTCCCAGCCGAGAAAGAAACTCCCTGAACCAAGGGAACATCCACTGAGCCCTCTTCCCGTTCTCAAGCTCATTCCAGAAAAAAGCGGCGTGGTATGTTGCAACTCTTTTGCTTGCACTTTCTGCTGAAAGGCCCGCTTTCCCCAGAGTCTCCAGCCGAGCCGCTCCTGCAAGAAGGGCGACTGGCCATGCCCAGCCTGCGAATTGAAGCTTCGGTTCTTGGGACAGGTGGGGGAGGTGGGGAGGTGGGGGAGGTGGGGGAGGTGGGGGAGGTGGGGGAGGTGGGGGAGGTGGGGGAGGTGGGGGAGGTGGGGGAGGTGGGGGAGGTGGGGAGGTGGGGGAGGTGGGGGAGGTGGGGGAGGTGGGGGAGGTAGGTGGGGAGGGGGGGAGGTAGGTGGGGAGGGGGGGAGGGGGGGGTGTTGGGAATTGAGGGGGAGGGGTTTGGGCTTGTGGTGTGCCATGGGACACTCTAAGAAGTGAATCCGTTTCGCCACTTCAATTTAGCTCTTCGATCCAACTTGTCCTCTTCCTTTTTATGGGCTGGCTCTCGCTTGCCCTTAAACCAAATTTACACGTGTCGGAAAATACCAAGGAAGTGTCGAAAGCAAACAAGCAACGCTTGGCGTTGATTTAAAACCTGAGGGAGGTCAGAAAAAATATCCGCACCGCGCACTGGTTGAAAGCTCAAAGCGAGAGAACTAAAACGCATAGCTGCATGACACCCTCCAGATCCCTCCAGACTTGTTGTCCTTTCAATTCTCAACCCCCTCCCCCCGCCGATAAACAACCTCTCAACAAAGAAGCACTGCCACAAATATGGTTGTCTTTGTCAGTTATTTGTATGTGCTCGAGAAGTATGTCTCCTGTATCGTTGTGCCAGCAAACCAAGAATACACACCTACAGAAACCGGAAACCGAAGAACACAGAAGGAAACACGAAAACTCCACCGGATTTTGGGGAAGAAATCTAAGACCCCCATCTTCAGACCGGGAACTCAACTAGGTCCTCCAGTAGAGCGGTTAGAATAAGGTACCCTTTTTTCTGTGGCCTATTTGAGTAGGTTTGAACCCTCCCAACCAAAAAAGGGGTTAAAAGGGCACTACTGGACCTAGCAAAAAATGTGTCCACCAACATGAGTACCAATCAAAACCCTTTGTATTAAAATGGTCGACCCAGAACCATGCTTCAAGAATATAGAAAGGGCACCTTGAGGGACCTAGTCAAGTTGGTCCAGGCGTTCGGGCCTCTGGTGCCGCCTGGAGCCACGCCAGGGCTGCGAGCATCACCAGCTGCTGCCGCGTCAGTAGCTGCAGCAGGCCTGGGCTGGTGGTGGGGTGGGTGGTGGGTCAAAACACATGGGTAGGTGAATTCACCACCCATTTTAGTCTATTTTGGGGTAGGTGAATTCGGTGAATTCACCACCCGTTTTAGAACCTACTCTAGCATGGTGGGTGTGGAGGTGGGAAGGTGGCAAGGGGCTGGGTGCGTGGGCTGGGCCTTCAGGCAACAATCATGGAGTGGAAAAATCGCGGGCTTTGCCAGAAGGAAGATTAGCCTTCTAACCCCCTATCAGCTTCTATGTTGGAGGGAGCGTATACCGAAAAATCCAAGATCATGTACAAGGCTGACCTATTCATTTCCGCAATGTCACATATTTCCATGACCACAAACAGTGCTTCCAACACCCGGGGACTCGGAAAATTGTTTTTCTCTTGGTTTCCCTGTATCGCCCAAAAGGACACCCGATTATCGACATATCCAAAGGCATCCCACTGTATCCTAACTTGGCCGCCTCAATTTGGTTGTAACGGGGCCTATAACCCTAGCCTCCTAAGGCGCTAGTAGGTTGATAACCCCCATTTGTAGCCGACACCTCGGCCAAGTAGTCTTGCGGTCCATTCGCAGAGTTGCCGTAGTTCTAACTCACTGCAGGCAAGGAACAGCGCAGCCGCCTGCGAGAAACGGCTTCAAATTCCCGCAAGATCCCTTTTCAAGCATACCTGCCTTATGAAACTCGTTGAATTACCCTCCCTCCCAGAAGCATGGCATCTGTGCGAGTGTACCTGGAAGATCAATCTCCTTTTTAAGGGACCTCTGTCAGGCCACTGTGGATGGACAAAATCCACTACTTCAGAAATCCTAGAATGATGATTCCCTTTTTCCCAACAAACAATGGTTTCAACCATGGTTTCCAAGTGGTGCGAAAGGATTTCGTCCTCAGTAAGCCCGAAGAACAGCAACCTGGCGAGCCTTTCACTGACCAAACCACCAAGAATTTCCAACGCAACCTGCTTCTTGAGGGGCCCCCCGAATATTGGTGGCTCTCTTCGTTTCTGTTTTCCAGGCAAAAAAAACACCAAAGTTGGCACCTGAAGAAAAAAATATACACATTCTGCGCAAATGCCGCGCGCGCAGTGGATCTGTGGTATCGCATCAGAACACGCCCTCGCTTCAGCGCAGAGGATCCAGGCATATTCAAACCTTCTTCTCCATGATGTCGACGACACGGGCTGGCTTGGAGGCTCCGCATTGGACCGAATTAGGGAAGCAATGTAAGAGCATGGAAGCCTGTGAAACCTCAAATGAGTCTTAACCTTCTCAGATAAACCTACACAGATTTTGAAACTGTCTTTCCCAAGGCTTTCAAGCACACATCCAAATCAATTGCAGCACGCCAATGCCCATAGAATGCAAAGGTTATGGCTATGGAAACCAACCACTCAAACGCTCTTAACCCTGTCTCAGTGAGCTCCCCATGTAGCTTGAGGGGTCCAGTTTCCTGACATGCAACCTTCCAAACTTGAGAAACCGCGGGGGTTGGAAGAGGCCATTTGACATTTCGGGTATGGGTCAAAATGAAACCACCAGGGGACCGCAGGTTTTGGTCCATGTTTTTATTTACCAAGGTTCCATTTTGGGTACATATATCTTTGACCCACGGCCTTTGACTTCCAGGTTTCCTTGCAACCCATCGGCCGCTTGGCCCGATCCAATTCGACTCGGCCGATGCGATCCGCCTCACCAGCTGCCACCGGAAGGCGGTCACCACCTCCCACTGCGCCTCCCGCGACAACGACACCTCCAGGCGCAGAGTTCGCGCCCGGAGCAGCTCCAGATGTGCACCTGACGAAGGATGGATGGAGTTTGGTTTGGGCCGCAAACCCAAAAAGTGTGTTGTTGTTCTTTTTGCGGGGTAGGGGGGGGAGGGGGGGAGGGGGAGTTTGGTTGGAGGGGGGGGGAGGGGAGGGGGGGAGGGGGAGTTTGGAGAGGAGGGATAGCGTAAAATATCCAAACAGCTTGATTAGTAGCAACCTATCGGTTGCTTGTTGTTGTTTCCCGGTTTTGCAGGAATTGATTGGACCCATCCCTGACTTTTGGGGTTTGCTTTCTTTTTTTCCGAATATGGTCTATGTCCTTGAAGTGACCAGTGATTGTGGGCGGCGGGGAGCAGCTTGATCAAACGAGACATCCGTCTGCACCACCCACGCCAACACACACACACACAATCCATGTAAGTAACATACCAACAACATGGAGTGTTTGAGCAAGTTCGGCTTGGTTGGTCTGTAGATTTGAAACTGCTAGAAAATAGGCAAATCTTCATAAATTTAAACATATTCAACAACCAAACAGAGCCTTTCAATCACAATACAACTATTATTTTGTAATTCCTGTATTTTGTTTGCTCCAAAGAACTTGAGCACAATTAGCACAATTGGCGCCCTGGAGGACAACCATTTCGGATCGTGAGCCCATATGTTACTTCACTCATTCATTTGACGTTTCACCCCGATCGGAGATTCCAGATGGTTTGCCAGCCAGCCAACCAGGCAAGGAAAGCCCAAATGCACATGGAAAGCTAAGAAAAAAGAGAGAAGGCCCCAGCGGTGCAGAGGAGCTCTCAGCTCACTCGTCTAAAGCACTCCTGCTTGGCACGCGAGAGGCTCTGAGCCAGTCCCGCTGAACCAATATGGCCGCCTCTACTTGTTGCGAAGGGATTTTTGCATAGCCGGCTCACAAATTGAAAAGCACAACACTGTGATCTGACCGATCACAGAACCCTTCCTGCAAAAGCCACTCGAATCAAATCGCAAAACCCTCGCTCCAACAATCATTGAAGCTGACATGGGGGGCTTCGGACTACGGTCCTTTTGGCCCTATCCATTTCTAGCACTCCATCCTCGGTGTCGCCAAACTGGATGCCTCAAAGAACCTGCCCGTTTCATGATTACCACAAGGGGCCGTGGAACTTCCAACGAAGGCCTTTCTGCCAGTTTCCCGGCGAGAAAACGCGTTTCCCCGTGTTGGGGATTGAACCCCCTTGAACCTTTTCAAGGCTTATGTGTTGTCCTTTTTGGGGTTCGAAGCCCAAAAAAAGGTTTAAAAGCACAAACAACAAGCGGCGTGAGTCACGGGGGAAAGGACAGCCTTTTGCGTCTGATCTCCCTAGCGGCCGGAGAGTTGATGAGCCATCTGCATTCGATTCCCACTTGAAAAGGATAATGTCGGAATCGAGTGGGTTGTGGGTCAACAAAAATGTAGCCAAAAATATGTAGCCAAGATGGTACATG